GAACAGGAATGGATATTGGATTTTATCAAACGTCTTTTCTGCTTCAATTCATATGATCATATATATATATTTGTCTTGTTTATGTGGTGGATTACATTGATTGTTTTTCTGGTGTTGAACCATCCTTGCATACCTGGTGTGAATCCCACTTGGGCATGATGTATTTTTTTTTTTTTTTTTAATATGTTATGGGATTCTGTTGGCTAGGATTTTGTTGAAGATTTTTATATCTATATCCATGAGGGATAAGGGTCTGTAGTTTTCTGTTTTAATGGTATATTTACTTGATTCTGGTATCAGTGTTATGCTTGTTTCATAGAAGGAATTTGGGAGTATTCCATCATTTTCTATGTTCTGGACTAGTTTGAGTAGGACAGGTGTCAGCTCTTCCCTGAACATTTGGTAGAATTCTCCAGGAAAGCTGTCTGGGCCAGAACATTTATTTTTAAGGAGGTTTGTTGTTGTTGTTTTTGTTGTTTATAAACTGCTAAATTTCTTCTTTGTTATGTGTCTGTATAAGTATTCTATCTCAGACTGGGACAGTTTAAGTAGGCCTTGTGTTTCTAGAAAATTGTCCATCTCTTCTAGATTCTCAAATCTGTTGGAGTATAGTTCTTCATAATATTATGTTATTATCCTTTTTATTTCAGTTGATTCTGTGTAGTGTCACCCTTTTCATTTATGATTTGAGTTTTTTTTTAATCTTCTCTTTCTTCTCCTTTGTGAAATTTGCTAGCTATTTGTTCATTTTGTTAATCTTTTGCAAGAACCACCTTCTTCTTTTGTTGATTTTCTCTATTGTTTTTTGTATTATGCTTCATTCATTTCTGCTTTGATCTCTATTATTTCCTGACTTCTGGATACTATAGGTTTCTTTTGTGGCTCTTTTTCTAATTCTTGGAGTTGTTGAATTAAAGTTTTGATTTTAACTCCTTCCTCTTTTGTGGCATGTGCATTTACTGCTATAAATTTACCTCTGAGTACTGGTTTCACTGTGCCCCAAAGGTTTTGGAAAGGTATCTCTTCATTCTTGTTTGTTTTTAGGATTTTTTTTTAATTTCACACTTTATTTCTTCTGTTACCCAGTAGTTTTTGAGTAGTGTATTATTCAGTTCCCACATATTTGATATTTTTCCCTTGATCTCTGTATTATTGACTCTAATTTATAGCATTGTGATTCAAGAAGATGTTCTGTAGCATTTCATTTAGTTATTTATTTTTTAATTTTATTGAGACTAGTTTTGTGTCCTAACATATTGTCTATGCTGGAGAATAATCCATGTGCACTGAAGACGAATGTGTATTGTGCTTTTGTTGAGTGGAGTGCTCTGTAGTTGTCTAGTAGGTCAAGTTGGTTGATGGTATTGTTGAGTTCTTCTGTGTGTGTGTTGAATTTTTTTCTAGTTGTTCTGTCCCTCCTTGAAAGTGCTGTGTTTATGTCACCTACTTCTATTGTAGAGTTTTCTATTTTTCCTTTCAAGTCAGTTAATATTTGCTTTATGTAGTTTGGAGCTCTTTCATTGGGTGTGTAGATATTTATTATGATAATGTCCTCTTGGTCATTTGACCTTACTACCAGCATATACTGTCTTTCCTAGTCCCTTATGCTGTTTTTCACCTTGAAGTCTATTTTATCAGAAATTAATATTTCCACTCCTGCTCTTTTTTGATTGCCATTATCTCGATATATTTTTTTCCACCCCTTAATTTTCAATTTATTTTTACCTGTGGGTCTAAGATGGGTCTCTTGTAGGCAGCATGGGTCTTCTTTTCTTATCCAATCTGGCACTCTCATTCTCTTGACTGGTGCATTTAGTCTGTTTATACTGAGTGCAATTAGTGATAGGTATGAATTTATTGCTATCATTTTGTTGTGTTTTTTTGCTGTGTAGTTGGTGGTTTCCTTGTTCCAAATATTTTTTTGTGCTGAGTTCATTTTGTTATGAAGTGTTTTTTTTTATATTTTCTTCATTATTGTTGGTATGTGCTTACTATGACCTTGTGTTTTTCTTCTTTCTGAGTTTGCTTAGAAGGATTGTTAATTTTCTTTGTGCTTACCTGAAGCAAATTCTTATTTCCCTAAGTTTGGAACAGCTTATTCTATAAAGACATTCTCCTGTCTTCCTCTCCATTTGTAAGTTTTGTAATGAGAACTTTTATTCCCTGTATATGCTTTGTTGCTGGAGTTGTATGCAGATTGACTCTGTATTTCTCTATGTACATTTTTTATGAGCTTATTATGATAATCTTTTTCTGGTTTGGGTTCTAAGTGGTGATGTCAAGTGTCTTCATTTTAATTTGTTGGTCTCTGTTGTGGGTTCTCTATTAAAAAGGCTCTCTTTAGCAATTCTTGTAGGATTGGTTTGGTTTTCATAAATTCCTTTAATTTGTTTGTTTGAGAATGTCTTGATTTCACCCTCATATTTGAGGGACAATTTGGCTGGATATATAATTCTTGCTTGGAAGTTCTTTTCCTTCAAGGTTCTATATGTACCATCCCATTGCTTTCTTGGCTGCATGGATTCTGCTGAGAAGGAGCTTAGTCTTATTAGTTGTCAGTTGTAAGTGTCATTTTGTTATTCTCAAGGTGCTCCCAAGATTCTTTCTTTGTCTTTGGTTTTGGAAAATTTGATTATGATATGTCTTGGTGAGTTTCTCTTGGCATGTATTCTAGATGTGGTTTGTTGTGCTTCTTGGATGGGTATCTTTTCCTTCTTCATGATGGGGGACTTTTTCTGTTAGTAAGTCTTCAACAATTACCATTGTATAATGTCCCTCTTTGTCCCTTATGCTATTTTTCACCTTGAAGTCTATTTTATCAGAAATTAATATTGCCACTCCTGCTCTTTTTTGATTGCCATTAGCTTGATATATTTTTTCCACCCCTTAAATTTTAATTTATTTTTATCTTTGTGTCCAAGTTGGGTCTCTTGTAGGCAACGTGGGTCTACTTTTCTTATCCAATCCGCCACTCTCTTTCTCTTGACTGGTGCATTTAGTCCATTTACCCTGAGTGCAATTAGTGATAGCAACACATTTTGTGTTTCTTTTGTTTTGTTTTTTGCCTCCTCTTGTACTGATATTCCAATGATATGTATGTTGTTTCTTTTCATGTCATCCCATATAACTCTTAAGTTCTCTTCATTTCTCTTATATTTTTGTCCTGATTTTTCTTCATAGAGGCTGGCATCAAGTGATTTATCTTCTAGCTGGGAAATGTGTTCTTCTTCAGCCTGTTCTAGTTTACTCTTTCATCCTTCCACTGCGTTAGCTATCTCTGTGATTTTAGTGTTTATCTTCTTGATTTCTAATTGCTGCTTTTGTATGAGTTCTAATTGTATATTTATATTGTTATTTTGTTCTTGAATGATTTTCCTGAATTCTTTCAGGGTTCTGTGTCTCTTCCCATTGTTTTTCTCAAATAATTTTATTGCTTGTTCTTCCTCCAAGATACATAATTTTTCTAGTTTGGACTTTTGTTTCTATTATCTTGTTCTGTTTTTTTTTTTTTTTTTTTAATTATTATTATTATTATTATTATCATCATCATCATCATCATCTACAGTTCTCTGTTGTTTCCTAGACATTTTGAAGTTGTTGTCTTTGTTAGATATGTATTAATTTGTTTCACCTTTATTTTATGTTTTAGTATATCTGAAAGTGTGAAGCAGATGGACATCTTTGATTACTAACTTGGTTGTACCGAGTTGCTCTCCAGCTCTCTCTATGTTGGTGGAATCACTGTTGGGGATGGGTCCAAGTCTCTGTTCATCATGAAGAGAATGTGCAGTTGGGACTTACAGGTGTTGTCCTCCATCTGTCATTGATCCTGTGGCACAGGAGTTATTGGTGTCACCTGTTTATTGGGTGAGGTGTTCAGTGTAGTTTTCACAGTGGATGTTTAATGTGTTCCTCCTATTGTATGAGGCAGGGGAGAAAAGGGAGAAAAAAAAAAAGAAAAGAAAAGAAAAATGCCAGAGAGAACCCCTGGATAGAAAGGCAGAAGGAGTTTCAGCATTTGGGGTAAGATAATTCAGTCAGCAGTACAGGCATGGGCAGGGCAGCCTGGGTTTTTCTGGGATCATCCACTGATGATGCTATGCAGCTGTCAATCAAAGCCCAACAGTTCAAACCCAACAGTTGCCCCAAAAGACAAAGGGCCACACCATTCTGTGTGGGTTGACAAGCCACAAAAAAAAAAAAAACTAGCAGAGATCCACTCTGTGCTTAAAAAGTGTTGCCAAGAGCTGAACCCAAGCCCACTGCCATGCAACCACCCAGGACTCCACCTACTCAGAGAGAGTTTCTTCTCCCTTTCCCCCACTCTCTTCCGGACTACCAGCAGTGCAAATTGAGGGGTTCTTGAGATATTTTTCAGTAATATCTTTATTCCCATTCAAAACCCCAGCTCACCTGGAAAAACTCCAGGTGTGGCTATTTTGAGTCCTCAGTGCTTGTGGGTTCTGTGATGTGTTGTTTTTGTTTTTGTTTTTTTCTGTCCTTCCCTCCACCTCGACTTCTTTTGTATTCCCAATGACTCCACTCCATCTTCACCAGCTAGGTGGGTTTGCTTATTTTTCCCAGTTGTTTAACCTGCTCCTTTTCTTCACCTTCACTGGATCTAATGCTTTATCTTTTCCTTAGTTACTCTTATTTATCTTTCAAGTTTCAGCATAAGAGATGTCCTTTGGGACTGTTTTGCTTATCTTTAAAATTAAACAGATTTTCCACCACTTATTATCATGACACTAATTATGTTATATAGTAATTATAAGGTTCTCTGTCTCAGACTAAAGTTTTAGAATGATAACAACTTAAAAGTAGATTCAATGCATATATATAGTTACAGACATATAATTAACCAAGTGGGTTACCAAAGTCCAGTTTTACAAAAAATAGTACATAAACACATCTTTTATGATAGGATATATTTCTAGGCAAATATGAAATTTAAAATTTTGGATTAAAGAGATCAATTTATTATTAAACAGTAGGAAGACTTACTCAGAAGAAGAATATAGAGGGTAAAGAAGGAGTGATAGAAAACATAATATGATAAAATTGCTGAGAAGAGAAATGATGCAGATCTGAACTAATGTAATTAAAATTTGAATACATTCTTTTTTCATTCAATAACATGTTATTTATGT